TGGAGTTCAGACAAAAAAGATCTTATTTCAAGCGAATTTGGCTGTTAACTTTTAAGTACAGCTGTAATGTGGTATTTAAATTTACCCACCCTGATTGGACAGAGGATTAAGGGGCTATATGATGGCTCAACCGCCTACTATAAGGCTAGGACACTGGCCTTTTGAGACCAGAGTCCACAGGATATCATCTATATATTTTTTTATTAAAAAGATGGCAAATTATAATCCTGTTTACCTAGCGTATTTCAAGTAATTTTGCTAAATTAAACTGCACCAGGCTGCAACAGAAAAAAAAAATCACAGTCCTAAGCCATGTTTCGTTTTCCATCCAAGACATCTCAAGGTTTCTTTTATGCAGTAGAACCCCAATGAGACAAACAGAGGACTAAACAAACGAAGAAATAAAATAAAGAAAACAATAAAAGCCCGAATTCTCCGGATAAACCAGTGCCAAAGGCATTAGGTATATAAATAACGTTCTTTCAAAAAACGGGATGCATTTTAATTCAGTCACAAAGACGCAAACAAGCGGCGATCAGCCAGTGTAAAATGTTAACTAAATAAGCAATTCTCGTCTTACCGTTCACATGTCTAGAAAAATCATCTGGAAAAACAAAAGTAGAATCAAACGTCGCAAATCATATCTTCTCAAAAGACTGCAATGCACGGCTGTTGTTTTCTTTTCTTTCTTTGGGGATACACGTCTCGCTTCGCCCTACCCTGGCCTTCTTGGTTTTGAATTACAGTTGAGCGCATATGGTCGCTCCCCCTCATTGTGCCCGACACAGCACGATTCCTACAGTGCATCATGCCCTCTAGTGGAGGACTTCTTTCTCTCTATCTGTCTATCTATCTATCTATCTATCTATCTATCTATCTATCTATCTATCTATCTATCTGTCTGTCTGTCTGTCTGTATATTATTTGTTTTTACAAACATTGGCAAGTGCTGCTTCTGGTTACAGCCGCCTCTAATGTAAACTTCTGACCAAATTCACATTAAAGTATAAACATCTTACTAACTACACAGACTAGGAATTTCCTCTTGTAAATTTCTTATGTTTCTGTCAGACTGGAGAAAAGGCTCAAATAAAAGTGCAAATGCAAAAAATGATTAATTGAATCTACAAAAAAAAAAAAAATTAATGTAAAAGGTTGCAATCAATTTAACTTTCATCTGAATTAGTTTATTTAAATGTAGCTAAAATCAATTGTTTGCAACCACTTACCTTGTGTGATATGCACAAGCTGGTATTCAATTACTTTCAAATAAGTAAATCAAGTGATCAAGAAAGACTGCACTTTTCTGCTCAGCTCCAACCATATCCTATTTTTACTAAAAGTACCACTGCAATAGTCAAATTAAGAACTGTACAGGACAGGTACAAGTGCAAAACCAGCACACGTACACACGCTTTTAACAGTAAAAGCTGGGATTTTATGAATCCTATGCAATCTACAATATATCAAAGTTTACTTGAAATAACATACTTTACTAATATATTAGGTGGATCTTTAAGAATGAGTGGTTAATTAATTTTAACTAATTCATTCATTAATATTCCTTGAGACTAGCCATAGAGACTAGTATCTTCCTCCAGAGGGCGCATGAGGGCTCAGATGGATCAGAGAGCTGATTCCTCCACTGACCCGCATTCAATTTTTTGGGGTACGTTTGAACACTAAAATGTAAAACATTGAATCAATTAATTCCAACTCTTAATACCGGACATAAAAATAAAAATATGGCCCATAAATCTATATGAAATCATAAATAAAAACATCCAGTCAAACATCCGGTAATCACACTGATCTGTGATTGGTCAGTTCTGACCAGCGCTGTAAAAAGTTACAGGCACCACGCAAAAATCGAATCTACTCTCTACTTCCTTCTTGGGGATTTGTGCAATAGTTTACACCTGATTAATGACACCAGAGAAACATTAGTATCCATCGAATTGCACATAAAATCAAGAATGAATTGCAATAGGATAAGTCTTATTCAGAAATTTATTTTCAGTCCAATAAGAGACGACTTCCGGACCGTTTATCGCCGCCCTTTCTCAGACACATAATTCACAATAGTGATGGGAAGTTCGGATCATTTTACCGACTCGGACCTTTGAGTCTCGTTCAGCCAATCTACCAGTTTATAATATTTCTACGGTGTTTACGTACGAGAGACGTTGATCTTTGTTACTTGCAAAGTGCCACCAGAACAGCAGACCTTCTCAGCTCGTAGGTAAAGCTGTTTTTCTTCTTATTAAGCTATACTTTACAATTATATTATTAGCAGTTTATCAAGATTTAAAAATAACACGATTCGCTCTTGGCTCACTTCAACAATGAATGCGTTGTTGTGCAGTTCACGTTAGCTCTGTGTAAGTAACATTAACTTTAAGCAGGATAACTTGGTGGTTTCTGAAGTACCTCACAGAAACACTTTTTCACTTCAAATGCTTGTCAAGAAATGTAATTAATGTTAACGGGAGAACTATTCTGTGTACTTGTAACTGTGTACCCAAGATGACCTTTATGCCACTTTCCTACATAGTGCTGTAGCAATTATGCACTCTCTTTCTGTTTTTCTCAAGGCTATGTTGAAGACTATAACCAGAAGCCTTTGGTCAAATCCTGTTGCTGGCAGAAGAATGATGTCTAATCACATACCACAGAATTTGTCAGGAAAAGTTGCTATAGTAACTGCATCCACAGATGGGTATGATGCTTTATTTCCATTCTTGTCCAACTGTTCTTTAGTTCCATATCTTAGAAATAAAAGGGTGTGTAGCCGTCACAGCACAAAACACACCGTCTCTAACACTACTAAAACATATGTCAATATAAATGAATGTAAACATGAATCCAAAAATACTTGCATTACATGCTGACAGACCCTTGTACTCACCGGTCTTCTCAGGATTGGGCTCGCAGCTGCGGAGGCTTTGGGTCAGAGGGGAGCACATGTGGTCGTGAGCAGTCGACGTCAGGCCAACGTTGACAAGGCTGTGTCACTCTTGCGCAGCAAAGATATAAAAGTAATAGGCACCACATGCAATGTGGGGAAAGCAGAAGATAGAGACAAGCTCATTAACATGGTGAGGAGTTCCTTTATCGCTCATTTTAGTCAATATTTAGTAAACATTTTGGAAATCATACTGAGGAATATACGCAAATGTTACGAGAAACCCAGAAGTCTGTGCAAACTTGCTAATGTATAATATATTTTGTGAAGAACTTTGATGTAAAATGCTGTTATTTACTTTGTTGTTGCAGACAATTGAACAGTGTGGCGGTGTGGACATACTGGTGTCTAATGCAGCGGTGAACCCGTTTTTTGGGAACATATTAGAATCCACAGAGGAAGTCTGGGACAAAGTATGACAAAGTTATTAGCCTTAATGAACCTTTTTCTATGGGGGAAAAAAAATCAGTAGTGTCAGTACTGATATTCGCTTTATGTCTACCACAGATACTTGGAGTGAATGTGACGGCTTCTTTCCTTCTAACCAAACTGGCTGTTTTATTTAAATAAACTTCATATCTGAGCCTAACTAAGGACCTTTTCATTTTCAGGGGTGGGTCAGTTGTGATTGTGTCATCAGTCGCAGGGTACCAGCCAATGCAAGTATGGTGTTTACTTGCTCTTATGTAAAGTTTAATCATGCAGCACACCTTGTCAAAAAGAACTGATAGCACTAAAGTGGTTTCTTTAATTGGGTTTAACTTTATCGGCTGCTTTTCATTCAGCACTAGTTGAGAGGTCACCTTGCCGTCACTCTTTGACTCCTAGGGTCTGGGCCCCTATAGTGTGAGTAAGACGGCCTTGCTGGGTTTAACTCGAGCGCTGGCTCCTGATCTCGCCCACAGTAACATCCGGATCAACTGTGTCGCCCCTGGCATCATCAAGACACGTTTTAGTGCTGCTGTAAGTATTTCCTACCAATTTTTGACGGCTTTCATTTTCAGAGCTTGGAAACTCGTCTTTGTCTAATTTTAATTTATAACATCAATTATAGACTTTACAAGGGTTGTCTGCATAACCCTTTGCTTCTGTTCTTTTGTAGCTATGGGAAAATGAGGGTGTGCTAGAAGAGTTCTTGAAACAGACAAGCATAAAAAGGTTTGTACAACTGCTGTCAAGACAATGAATGAAATTGTTTTTAAACTAATAGTACTGTGGAGCTTGAAATATCATGAATCTAGAATTGCATTAGCACGAGTAGGAAACTAAATTGTGCCACTAGCATTATGCATCACAAAAAATATTACATTTATTATGCACCAGTTTTTTTTTTAAATAGCTAAAGCGTATGATTTCATGATGATGTAAAAAAAAAAAAAAAAAAATCCCATTACCTGTAAGGTAGCATTGCAGTAATTGTCCATAAGCTATTCCTTCCTTTTCATAAGCTTTCATTTGTTGCTTTCTGGTGCAGGAAACCTGATTCTTATGTAATGTCTTGACCTCTTAGACTCGGACAGCCAGAGGATATAGGTGGTGTGATTGCCTTCCTGTGCTCAGACGAAGCCTCATACATCACCGGAGAGACCATCACTGTAACCGGAGGCATGAACTGCAGACTGTAAGAGGAGCGGCATGGAGGCAGTAACAGTAATCATGTACTTGTACATCAGATAGAAACCTTCTAATTCAGTGACCCAATACAGCTGTAACAGCTGGTGTAGTAATTCATAACACATTTACAAATGTTTAATTGTAATAAAATGATTTTTTGCAGATTTTATCACATTCATTTAATCTTTTGATGTATAGTTTCCCACATCTTTCAACCAGTGAATTGGCTTTTCCAGTCATTTGGGAATACTGGTATTACTATTATTTTTAGATTTTAAAGATACAAATGTTTACACTAATTTTAGCTCATCTTAAAAAGGAAACAGAAATAGAAACATTTTTCCTGATATTTCCAAGTTTTCTCTGATGGAGGGCACCTTATTCAGCATTATACATTTCCCTCAAAAAGAGCAAATACATATAGCAGTAAACACAATTCTTTATTTAAATATTACATGTAACAACAACATAATACTACATGATACAGATAAATACAATTAAAATAAATGATTATAATTATTAATGCGCACTTCCTAAAAGCAGGTAGGTTTCCTTGGTTGCAAATGCACTACATGGCAAAGACCTTGTTTTTTTTTAAATAAAATCTAAGACTTATGACTAATACATGTATTATCTATAACAGCAAACACTGCAGCATCAAAGTCTTTAAGCAAGCATAACGTTCCAAAAGTGCATCAATGTCTGCTTCCAGGAGACAATGTGGAACAAAACACAGGATTCCAGAACTCCCGCAGTGTGGGCACATACGTACCATTCTTTGTTTTGCAATACTGCTGACTGAATACCTGACAGGAAATTTCAAGAAAAAGTCAGATTGAAACAAACAACCACAGTTCAGATACATATTAAACCTAACCCTAGACTCAAGAATTTAGACAATATATATCTTAAAAGGCCATTTTGGTAAATGACCACTTACATATTGTTCAGCAATCAATTAATGCAATAACCTTGTGCAATGTCAATTTTATGCAATATGGATTATGCTGTTCTAACCGAGCCCCGCTCTCTCTAGTGAAGCCAACAAGGAAGTGACTTAAACTGTAATTCATCAACTGGCCGCTAGAGGCTGGCTGCAAAAGGGAGTCAATCCCATAGACTCCCCATGTTAAAATGCCCAACTTTACAGCAGAAAAAAATATGTTTACAGCCTGGTTCAAACAATGATTTTGGTCTATATAGCTAAGTTTGCCCTTCATGACAACTGTGAGGGGGGTGAATTTGTTTTATAACTCATCCGTTTAAATTATATGAAGCCTTAAAGTTCTGTATAATTAAGGGCGTGGCCACTTGAGTGACAGGTGGATTGCTGCTGCTGTCACCACCGTCGAGCTAGGTGGGCGTGGTTTCAGCAGCCAGCTCCCACCTATTTGCCCATTTTCGATTATCCGGGAGTGACGTGCGGTGACGCGCTGCCAAGATGGCGACGGCTGGCTCCGCCTACTTTAGGCTTCAAAACGCTCGTCGGAAGTCTACGGGTTACGTCACGGACACTACGTCCATGTTTTTATACAGTCTATGGTTCTAACAGAACATGCATGACTTGTTTTAAACGCTATATAGGGCCACATACACACAGCTACATTTTCAGGCTGAAAAGTGCATTAACACGCGCAAGTGAATCCCCTAAATTTTGGGGTGTGTGTAAACAAAATGTTTGTGTACTTGCTGTAGCTGTGATATTAGTTTGGTTATAAAGTTATATTAGTGACTGGAAACATTTATAATACATAAACATCTCTCTGTAATCTACCACAGGGCTGGTGAAAGCAACTAAGGTGTAGAGACGGATTTGTAAAAAGAAAGACACGTACCTCCTCCTCTGTGATTTGCTAACACCACTGCTGGAGAACAGAGACACACATTGCAGACTCGCTTTCAGTGAGAGCGAAGTCACTGCATTAATAACTACTTGCTCAGTTTGGTGCTGAATGACACTACATGGACTTAAGCATAACTACCAAAGTACTCCGTGAGTACAGAACACAAGTAGAGTAACAACTATATTTAGCTAGTGTGTATGTGGCCACAAGAACCTGCTGTAAATACTGTGCAAATACTCTCTTGAGAAGCTCTATAGGCTGAATCTACACTCTAGTCGCTGGTTCTACACAGCGGAACACTTTTGTTTGGTTGTCGGAATCATGTAGATGCAGTTACAAACCTTTCTCTTGACACTGTCTGATCTCTCATCATCAGAATCACCAATGATGTCATCTGATGACTTAACTGAGGGAGACGGGGTATCTAAAATAAACGGAAAACCAAAAGTTACACCTCTGGCATATAAAAGCCAAAAAAACAATTTTTTTTTTTACTTACCTGGACTACCGACTGGAAGATGCAAAACAAGGGGAATACACGGAGAGCAAGTAGAAGTTCTTAAGGAATAAGAAATTCAGATAAGAATGAAGCTTAACAAAAACTTTAATTAATTATAATAATGATTTTATATAACATTCAAATAAATTTAAATCATGTTCTTACGGTCTATTGACAGATAAAGTCATGCGTTTCTCCGGCGTTGGCGTCAAATCAATAAATTTCCTCTTGCGCATCACAGAGTCACTGTTTCCCACACTGTCTTTTGTGTTTTCCTTCTCATCAGAAGATAAATGATTCAGACAGACAGGAAGATCGTTGTCGTTTAATCTGGGAATGACAACTCTCAGCTGGCGCTTCATGCAGGAAATGAGGAGAGCACTCATTTCTGCTTCCTGCTGTGACTCGATGTCCTCAGAGCTTCTCCTAGTGGAATATTTCCTTGTATCATCTTGCCCTCTTTTTCCATTTCTGTTCTTGATTTCAGTCTTTTTGGGTAGTTTGTTTGCCCTCTCACTACTCCCCTTCCTACTGTTTATTTCTTCTTTGCTGCCCTCCTCCACCTCCTCTTCTTCTACTTCACTGCCAGATGACTGACTGATCACTGTGACCAGCATATTCCCCACAAAATACTCCTTTTCTGGATCCTTCTCCAAAATTTCTTTATTAGAACATGATCTTTGTTTGCTTCTGGTATTTCTGGATATCTCAAAAGCTGTTTCAACTTCTTGTCCTGAACTTGCTACCTTCTCGTTGTTTTTTTGGAGAGTGTCATTGGAAATGGACCCAATCACAGGTGCGACCTGTGACTGGGTTTCCTTCGCTGTTCTGCGAGTGGTTCTGGGTGTTGACGGGGCGGGATTTGTGACCCTGTTGGATAAGCGAGTGGATTCTGACTGGATGGTCTGCAGCACTCTACCCGAAAGAGGGAGGGAAAGGGAAGAGAGGATCGCATCACCAGTAGATGACAGAAGAGATGCTGAAACCGAGAGAAGGAAAGAAATCAGAGGATGACAAGACAGATGCTTAGGGGCATGAAAGGAAAGAATTCAGTCTTGTGATTCCAGAAATTACTTGATCATTTCATCTCCCAGACTTACCTGAGCCAAGGTGCCCGAGGCATCTTTCATGCTGCAGCAGAGTCCTGAGGAGCTGGGGCTGCGATGCAGAGCGCGCACACTCCTCCAGAACAGCAGGGGCACCACTGAGCCATGAGACTGTCTGAATAATATATCACAATACAAAATGGTAAGCATTGAACATAAACAAAACAGTGGTCCTGTCCCAAATGGCAGCATTAGCACTTCAGCATTTGACCAAGCGGAGCACTAGTCAGCAAGTGCACACCTGAATACTTTAATCAGGCAATTCACTTTTTTACTTTGGCAACTTATAAGCAAATGTTGTGTGTAAAGGACCATACTTGGAACTCACACTTGAAAATATTTTTTATTGAACATTACACGATGCAAAAAGAATTACAAAATGTTTAATAGAAGTTCACATATAACGTTGTTTTAATATTTAGGCAGTGTGCAAGAAAGTGTTTCCTTCTTCCTAAATATTTTAGACAATTTTACCAACAACAAAGGGTTAAAATGTACAATTTTCAGAAAAAATTAAATAACAATAATAATATTACTATTCACATGTAATTTTTTTCTCCTTTATTATATGCCATGACAGCACCAAAGATTATTTTCATGACATGAACAGAAGCTTAAATTACAAAAACAAACAAAAGCAAAAAATTCTTACAGCAATGGAAAAAAAAAAAAAGATAATATGTATATGTATCTGATATTCTTAAAAACTAAAAAGGGTTTTGTTCTGAACTTTATTATGAATTATACCTGAGCAAGATCTGGAACAGGTAATAGTTTATCCAGTCGAATTAGAAACTCCCATAATAGCTTTTCTAGACTGGCCACATAGTTTCCTCCATAGTGAAGATGGAATTCCTCCTGGTGTCAAAGATACCAAAGATAATGTACATGTCAGTGTACATTAATAAAAGTTTGCATTAATTGAAGATTTTTAGGCATTTACCAAATTTAACCAAAGAGTGACAGATAATTTAGAAGTGCCTTCTGTCATTGCCTTCATATCCAAGATGTTTATAGAAAGTAAAAATAAAGTCTATAAATGAAAATACAATTTTAAAGCACTCTCATGACAATATATCAGGTGGGAGATGTACGTGAGGATTTTTTTGTTTGTTTTTTTAACCTTGAAAAACTGTTTTCTGGCTGCTTCATTCTTCAGCAGAGAGTTCACCAGGGTCTGGAAGTTGCGTTTAGCTTCTTCCACCTTTTGATCCTTCCTCTGAGGATAAAAGAAGGTACAGTTCATGTTGGTGCATGTAACTCTTGTGAAATTATATGCAAGAACACCATTTTAACTTCTAAAGAAGCTAGAGGAGAATAAAACTGTCAAAACATGATGAGACAAACAAGACTCTGCACCAGTGTCAGGGCCAAACTCACCTTTCCGATGGGAATGGAGGAATCTTGCAGCTTGTGCAGCTCCTGGAGGATAAGCTGAGCATCAGGAGGATCTGACTGACAAAGCTCTTCCAAGATCATCTTAGGTTAGCAGGATAAAAAGCAAAGAAATACCTTTACCATTTACAGACTATAAAAAAAGTCTAAAACTCTTAGGAAACAACAAAGTTTCAATATATGTTCAAAGGATACTTAAAGTATGGCAGCATAAAAAAAAGACTGCTGTTGGTTGGTACATTTTTTTTTTTTTTTTTAAATATATATGTGACGTAGTCATGAAATGTAGCTTTTAAAGTATTTCAGGCTAGAATGTAGTTGTTTAAAACTCAAATCTGAGGTTTATTTATGAAAACAGCGCCTATTTGAAAATGTGCTTCGCCGATTTCGGAGATGGGAGGTCCATGCGATCAGCCGGCGCTCAGTGCTCATGTATACCGACGAGAGCAGCCTTATATATACACATACACACACACACACACACACACAGAGAGAGCGAGCAAAAATTGACATTAAAATAAAGACATTTTTAATATGGTTTTATATTTCGGCATTTCAATGCTGAAAATGTCAAGTTAACTACCCATACAGACATTGACTCTATATATTTAAAGCTCTGATATGCACACATATATATATTTCGATACTATGCGTTACGCAGTAAACACCTCAACTGGCATAAATCTGCACAGAAAGTCCCTCACATCTAAAGACAGCACCACAACGAAGACGATCCGATAACTCTCGTTTTAATATTAGTTTATTACAAGCTACACTGCGCTCACCCACCTTCATTCATAGTGTTATTCGCTGTTTTCATTGTCCTGTCCGTCCAGAAAATAAACAACTCTGGGGTTTTGGAGATGGCTTTCTTGATTCCTAAACTTAAAAACAAAATCTCTTATACAGCTCAAACGAGGAATCATCAACAACATTCAGTTGAACAACACGATGTGATAACACTTAAGCTTTCTGTCCTTTGATCTATATTTACAACAAATACGCTACGTTTATAAAAACAACTGATGATTCATAAGAACGTAATGATGGTCGCGGTAGGAATACACTTCTCGCGCCAAAATGACGAAATACTGTTTCCGGTGTGAAGTACAAAGACAACATTTAAAAAATAAAAAAAACTTAGTGGGCACAAAAGTTTATAAAAGCTGTCTGTTATTTGAATGCTACTACTGATATTGAACATATGCCATGCTTTATTTGTTTAAACTAAAGTTATACCCTTGTTTCTTTGCTTTTTTGATATGACGTTTAGTTGAGGAAGTTGTTTTGAATTTCAAAATAAAAGTCGTCCAATTTCAAGTACTGTAGAATCCAGATGAAAATTAAGCAAATGCTTCCAACGCATTCCATAATAATTTCAACTAATAAATAAAATCAATCGATCTATCTATCTATCTCTGTCATTTCAATCTTAATTTGTAGTTTTTTGTAAAGAAAAAAAAAATAGGATGCACGGACACATTAAAGCAATGGTTTCAACACTATCCAGTCTCCCTGCTTATTACATCATTCAAACCTTGGCTCTGATTGTAGTATATCAGCAATCTCACCAGTGCCCGCAAACCCATTGTCAGCCTGGCCTGATGTCTGTAATGGAGCAGCCCAGGTACAGTCTCACAGAGTGATGTTATGGTCTCCTCCAGTTTCCCATAATGCACTGCATCCCTCTGCAGCATCACCTTCCACATGGCTGCGGACATCAGGCGTAAAGGTGGAGCAATAAGCTGCAGAGCTGACAGGGGTAGAGGTGCATCTGTTAGGAAAAAAAAGAAAAGATCTGAAACAATTATAACAAGCAAACTGTACTGAAACTCATTATTATTATTCATTATCATCAAATTATGCACGGACACATTAAAGCAATGGTTTCAACACTATCCAGTCTCCCTGCTTATTACATCATTCAAACCTTGGCTCTGATTGTAGTATACAATCAGAGAGGAGACCTTGCCCAATGACACAAGCTATCAGACTAAATCATCCTGCAAAGTCAAAGTCCATCACAACACATTATTGTCAAAAAGATATTCTCCACCAGCTGTGACTCAGTATCACCAGTTTACTTCGAACAGACAAACAGAGTCAGAAAAGACTGTAAACAACTGACACTGAGGTGACAGGCAGAAGACCTCAACCACAGATCATAATGGAAACAACAGCCTCCCTGTTCAAGTAAGTAACATTCATTTGTTGATATTCAGTAGTGTTATTTACAATACACCTATTCATCGTTAGAAGCATGCTTTGAGTAAGAAGCTGCCACATATATACATTTGATCAAAGTTATTAGTAAATATATACAAAAATACATACTGACATATTTCGTTTAAATGGTTTTATCAGTGTTTGTCCTTGACTTTAACACTGGACTTTAACAGTTGGTCTCTCACAATACATTTGTTTCACTCCATTAACAGCTCTTTAGATAAGACAGAGAGTGATTACAGCCATGTGCTGTCTGTGCTTCTCTCACTTTTAAAGCAGTCATCGATTATTCTAGGAAAAATGATTTTTTTGGTCATTATTAACCTCCATGGATCTCTTTCTACCATGGAACAAAAAACAAGGATTTTGAAGAATCATATTGGTCGCCCTTATCCACACAGTACTAAAAAATGAGTAGGCCTTCTGTTGTTTTCAAACTTCAAAAGGGACACAAAAACACCAAAGTATTATAAAAGATATTGGATAGCTTTGTGTTATTAACAGATCGTATTGTAAGTAATAATCCAATGATCTTTTAGTGATAATCTTTGCTTTTAGTGAGCTGTGATCAGATCAACTTGAGAATCAGATCAGTCTGATTTGTCAGCAAATTATTCAGACAAACGTTGTGAACTGGACAATTCAATGATAAAATTAAAAAAAAAAAAACTGTTCACAAATGAGGCATACAACATGAGGGTGAGTAAATAATCAAGCATTTGAGCATTATCGTGCTAACGGTTCCTTTAAGTGTAGTTCCTTTTACTGACTCTTGATGAAAACCATTTTTGTACTCTTATTCTATTTTTCTTTGGCGTTTTGCCTCCCCCTCATAACCCTATCACTCTTTCTCTCAGGTCAGTCTCTCGGCGGGTATGGTCGCCCCTTCAGCGTCCATTCAGAGTGTGTTCCTGGAACAGAGCCGTCAAAAAAGGAGTCACTGCTGGAACTCTAGAGGAGCTCAAAGAGAAGGTAGGAAATGAAACATTGTTGAACTGGAAGTTTTGCCACTTACCTAAAAGGGTCTTTTAGATGTAGACACATTGCTTAATAATCTGGCCTCTTGGGGCTTGCAGTAGTTTTATCTTTGTGTGGCACCCCCTACCCTGTGTTAAAGCTCATCCAGTTTTCTAGACATCCTACAATGACCAGTCATTTATCATAAACATTGTTGTACATTTGAACATTGTGGGGCATCTTAAACTGTGATTATTACCTCAGGCAGCCCAGGCTCTCTTGATATCTACTGTGCTGACTTTGGTGTGTGAAGAGGATGGGACAGAGGTTGACACAGAAGAGTTCTTCTTAGCTCTGCCGGACAACACTGTTTTCATGGCCCTGACACCTGGAGAGACCTGGAAACCTCATCCTGTATGTATTTTTGTTTATTTCAGGTTTTTCATCTTGAATTATGAGTTGCTTTTAGCAGTTTTACCACTTATCTGATTGCCTTCATCAACATTAGAAAGGTGGTAATATGTGTCACATCTATACTTATCATCTCATCAAGAAGCTAAAATCCCAGTGAAATGTTTTGCATAAACGGAACTTTCTTAATGATTCATTCACTTATGAATATTGTGTCATTTGTATCGTTCAGTTCCTTATCTTAACTTCATCTATCCCTCCTAGTTACGTCAAAGGGGTGGAAACACACCAGGTGAGAGTAAACCAAGGACAGGAAAAGACATTGCTCAAATCACCTTTGATCTTTACCGTACTCACCCCAAAGATGTATTCGGCTCACTAAATGTCAAAGCCACATTCCAAGGGCTCTACTCTGTCAGTGCAGATTTTCAATGCTTGGGGCCAAAGAAAGTCCTGAGGTAAGCAGACTACAGATGGAAACTCTAAGCATTGTTATGGTTTGTTTTACTATTTATTTGTACAAAATAGCCTTTTTTCAAGCCACTGAATTGTATCCTACATTTTTGTTGTCTTTCAGGGAGGCCCTCAGAGTCATGTCCACTCTACTCCATGCTGCTGGACACTTATTGATCTCATCTGCTGCTGTAATTCGCCGTATTATCCATGGGGCAGATCTTCTTCAAGCCCAGCATGGCAAACCTATAGAGTATTGGGAATAACTGGAGTATAAGGAATAACTAGAGAAATAGGACATGAATCCGAGATCACAAAAAATTTAACTGAGGGATGCTTTTTCTAAAATGTTTCCTAGATAGGTTTATATGGTAACACTAAGGTTCATGTTATTAGGTATAATGAATGAACAACAATTAATCTAGGCAAATGTTAATTTACACACCACACTTCAAATGTTTGGGTTCAATGTAATTTATTCCACTGATGGTAAAGCTGAATTTTTAGCAGCCATACTTCAGTCTCGTACATTACAAATCATTTTTAGAAATCATTCTAATATGCTGATTTGGTGCTCAAGAAAGATTTCTTGTTATTATCAACGTTAAAACGTTTGTGGGAATCATGAATAGAAAGTTCAAAAGAACAGCATTTATTTGTTGATACCTAATGCATTAAATTATGTTAATGGACTTTATTGTAAATTGTGAAGTTATACTTTGCTGGTTTAATGGAAGATTGCTCCAGGAAAATGCTTGTTTCTATGAAAACTGCCCTTAAGGAGTGATTTTTTTTTTTCATTCTTAGTCTAGGACTACCCAGTGTTACTTATTCTATGTGTTTGACCTTCTTTATAAATGTTTATTTTAACTTTACCAATACTTTATTCAATATGTTTACGTGATAGACTACTACTGTATAATTTTATCTTTCTCATTTTGTAAGTCGCTTTGGATAAAAGCATCAGCTAAATGAATAAATGTAAATATGTAAATATGAAATTGTCATAACAGTGAATGTTTAGAAAAAGAAAAATTAAATTAAATATAAAAATGTTTTAAGAACAATTTATTAAGTAAAACCAAATTGGTACAAAAAGCTTCAGCACAAAAAAGGACAGTCTCTCTATAGTCAGCTTACTCAATGCATAGTCTAATAAACTCCATATCAACACTACTTAAGATTTTAATTAGACTTCAAATAATAATAATAATAATTAAAAAAACAAATATTTTGATTGGGGGAAAAAAATCAAGCACATAAATTGTGTAGTATTGTGTCAGCATAGTGTTTCCATCAAAGAAACATATCTGTGTAGCACACTGTGGATCTAAAATATTGCAGTTATGCTTATAACTTTAAATACAATTGACCTTTGTAAAAGCAAACATCTACATATCTAAGCTCGAACTGCAACTTAAACATGAAATGGCAGCACACATGCATTCGCTCTGTTGAGTCACACCGAGAACCACAATGAATAGAACTCTGATAAAACAAGCTACAAAACAAAATACATTGTACAGTCATCCAGTGCCTTGCCATACACAATTTTGTTTCAGTTACTTTAAGGTACATATTCTAATGCTAAATATTTTTGATTCAAGTAAGATGCTTAGTTTTGGAGATACATATTGCATAACAATGTTGTGAGAGAGGTTCTACCAGGCCCTGGAACTGGGATGGAAATATCCAGACAGGTTAAAGGAGAGGGAAAAAAAAGGTTTTGTGTAACATCTTTGGCAGTGACGTGGAATTCAATTTCCACCTATCTGCACAGCTACAAATGCCTTCGCAAACTGACTTTGCTTCTGAGGTCAGAGTTCACCCTCAGGCACAACTGGGGTACTTCCCCTAAAAAGTTCATTCCATGTTGCTGCTTCGCCCCCTCCACCTCCGTTAATTAATGTAGAATCGGCCAAACTCAACCCAGAGCCGATGTTCTCAAATGAAAATCTCCCCCGTGAATATTTCCCGCCCCTTTTCTGCTGTTGCGTTATAACTGCGATGATGCGTTCCCTCTCCTCTGAGGTCATCCAGCGCATCTGATTGTGTTTGACATGATAACGCGTGTCTCCGTACCACTGGATGATCTCTGTCCGCGTCAGACCCGTCTTCTGCTGGAGTATCACGTAGTCGTCACTTGTGGGCCACTGGCAGCGCAGGAAGTTTTGGCGCAACATTTCCAACTGTTCCCTCGTCTTCTTACGAAGTCGCACGTTAGGTTCTACCCGGCCGCGGATGAATGACGGAGACGGAGAAGGAGAGGGAGAGATGTCCGCAGAATGTTGTTGAACGGAAGCGCTGCCGTCATCAAGCTCGCCTTCATCGCTTACTACCTCCTTGGTCTCATTCGATTGGTTGACTGGTCCCTCATCGTCAGCCAAATCCACATCAACCTCAATCCCCGCCTCTGTGTCGTCAGCCCCGTCGTTGTCATAAAAATCAGCACTCGGAAGAACATCGTTCTCCAGCTCGTTCTGAGAGTTCTGCTGCACCAGCTGCAGTGACCGATTGCGCTTCGCGAGCTTAGCTAGCCAAGCCCTGCCATTCCTGCGAAGCTGATAGCGGCTGTCAGCGAACCATTTGCGAATGTCACGCCGATTAAGTCCAGTCATTCTCTGGAGCCGCTGAACTTCGCCGTCGGACGGCCAAGACTTCTGTACAAAACTGCGGCGCAGGGCCATCAGCTGCGCTTTCGATTTTTTTCCCGGTAAGCAGTGTAGAGACTGTGAAAGCTCAGGGAGTTCGGGGTCCGACATTGCGGCGTGTTGGTTGTACGATGAATTGAGCAGCTGGACTCCAGTATTGTGAGGCGGTGGTAGGTTTCTACTTTCACTTTGGAATTGGGGATTAACTTGAGGAACTTGTGATGTGGGTGCAAGACCATTTTTGTACACAACATTAGTGCTGAGCAACTGCTGTATGCCGTTATTGGATTGGGAAGCATTATTCTGGCTAAAATGCAAGCGGTTTTGGTCACTGGTGATGTGCTGAGGAACAGTCCGGCTGGGTTTAGGCGTCTGGTCTCTCTGATCTACATGGGCAACTGCCGCAGGTGGCGGTATAAAAACATGTTGAGGTTCCTCACGTCCTAAACATTCCTCCTCCTCGTTTATTTCCACACACTCCTCGGCTACTGCTCTTTTCTGAATGTGCCACAGCTTGCGTCGCGTCTCTTGGATGTCGTCGTCAGCCCAGCTGATCCCGTAACGTACCCGCTGCATCATGAACCATGCTTTAACTCGGTCCGGTGGTAACGCACACTTTCGAGCTAGAGCGCTCGCCTCCTGCGACGTGGGGTATGGGAATGCATTAAACGCTTCTACGAGTTCTGACACGGCGTCCAGCTCGTGGACCTGCTCCGAGCGCACCCAGATAAGCTTTAACCCCTCGGATACCAGTGGAAGACAAACCAGGTTAGTCTGGTTGTGGGTCGATGTGCCAGAGGAGACTGTTTGCCTCTTTTGGCAGGACTCCTTGGTCCCTGAAGAGCAGGGTGACTTCTCCTGAGGTAACTCGGGGGATGAGCTCTGCGATTCTTCAGGAGCAGGTGAGTCGTCCATCTTCTCTTCCTGTTCTTTGGGATCCACCGAGGATGAGGTCTCATTTGAGTCTTCGGGAGTCTGAAGGGAAGCAGATTCTGTTCCCTCAGTGGTGACTGGCTGAAAAGGGTGAGATCAAGACATATGAATATAAAATGCATCAGATGAGAAATTCTCTCTTATTGGCTTACAGTTACAATGGCACAAAAGGTCATCTGTTATTACTTTTCACTGCTAATAAAATCACCACATTATGATAAATCATTTATTAGTCATTTATTCACACACATTATTATTATTTTTTTAATTTATCTCCCTCTCTCTTGCAACAACATCTCATCTCTGATGACCAGCAACCTGTTACTCATATGACATCACAGCAATTATCAAATAACAATCCAATCACTTCCTGATGGACAATATCAAGTCCCACCCTACTTTTTTTTTCCTCATATGAGAAGCCGTTTTACTCACATATGCATAACAATAGGGGAAAAGAGACGATTGCAATTTCCATTTTATGAGAACTTTAAAATTAGATAAATGTACGTGAGGGTGTGCTATATTTTAATTATTGACACATCTAAAGACCACTGTTAGGCCCGCAAGGGTAATTTGAATTTCCCATGGGAATGTATCATTTCAATTTGAGGAATAAGGCCTGTTATTGTTACTTGAAAACATGTTCAAGTTACATAAATCATAAACACTCATACTTCAAACACTGCTGTGTGTAAGCTGCTCAAATAGAACTTATGTAAATATAAAAAAATAACACATGAAATTCTCTTTAAGTAATGCATTTCCTCATAAACTCTAAACTGCCATTCTAAAAACCTATTGGATATTTCTGAGAGAACACATGGCTTGAAACTGCTAATTATATATATATTTTTTATAATTAATTAATTTAGATTAAACACTCCAATATTCCATATAAAATTAAGCATTGTTGGCATTTGTGATTGTTTTCAAACAGGTTTCCCTGTTCACTCCCCACTCTGCCATTGGTCAGTCAAATAGATAGCCCCTCCCCAAATGCACACCACTGATTGAGCAAATTATATTTTACCACAGTGTTTACACTTTTCAGGTAAAAACAAGAGTCTTTGCCTAGCAAGTCGTGATAGAAGGAATTTACATTTAAAGGGGTCATATGATGCGATTTCAAGTTTTCCTTTCTCTTTGGAGTGTTACAAGCTGATTAGAGAGAGAGAGAGAGAGAGAGAGCGACAGCGTCACGTCACAGTAGAGTCAGCTGTCTTAACCGCGGCTTGTGTACTGCATCATTACTGTGTCTGTTCCCCTTTCGGGCTTGAACTGATGGTAAAACTAATGACATTATTTACTGTCTTTACATTTATTTTGAAAGCTGAAGCTCGCGATTATGGTAAGGGGCGTTACATTTCCGACGAGTGCTTGCAGTGTTCGGCCAATCACAATGCACTGGGTCAGCTGGCCAATCAGAGCAGACTGCACTTGTCGGAAGGAGGGACTTTGTAGAAAACGAAGCGTTTGAGAGAGGCGGGGCATAGAGGACCTACAATAATGTACAGTATATGAAAAATAATGTGTTTTTTGAACATTAAAGCAGGTCAACATATTCTGTTACACCAAATACACAAAATAATGATCTTTAAAAAAAGCATCATATGACCCCTTTAAACACAAACTTCATTCAAAGCATCTCTAGTTGTTCACACAACTAACACAAACTCACACACATCAATAAATGCTGACAAAAGACAAAACTTTACTTACTTTATCCTTAGCAACGCTCTTTTCCAGGTCACCATTTAAGCAGGGTGTCTCCACATCACCCACACGCTCGTCCTCTGGGCTTTCACATCCCTCGCTCCTCACCGAGTCAGAAAGACTGGTGACAGGGTGAGCGGCGTGCAGGTGCTGGCTGAGGCATTTAACGTCTTGCGCTTTATAACCACAAATCCGGCACTCGTAAGCGTCCTTAACCGTCATCTCCCCGGCATCTCCTCCAGACTTTTCCGCTGGGTCTGGAGGTGAAGAGTGCGTAACGTTACTTGTGTTCTCGAGCTGCGGAGCTGCGCACTGCTCCATGGCAACTTATGCACGACCGAGCCAAGACGCAATTCATACAAGCGAAAACAGAGGCTACACAGCTAATTTTCTCCCGCAACAAAGTCGGTGTGCAATACCCTCGAGTATGTAACGAGTTTAATTTGAATAAAATAGTTGTATACGGAGTCAACATGCAGGAATTGAAGGCTAAGTCCTAATTTATGGCCACACTGGTCTGAATATGGAACAAAGGCGTGCTAGCCAGCGAGCTAACACAAAATCTTGTCGTGCTGGCTTCACACAGATGCATAAAAAGTAAAAATTGACAGCTCAGATGCAACCCGGCTTATTTATTGTTTTTCTGATATAGTTACTTGAGAAATAAGGCAATTAAAAGCGTCAATCCCTGCTGATCACACTAGCCCAGAAAGCTGTCACAGGTTTGGTTTGTCGCATCCTCCGAATGTGAAGCTAGAGCGGCTTCAAAATAAAAGTTCATTGACAGCCGCTCTCTTTTCTGTTTCAAGAAGTTTTTGCGATGGTAAAATAGCTTTACTTTAACAAAACACTAGTAATTGTATATGCATACACATTTGCGCACATACAGACACACGCACAAAAAAATACTGAAGATGAATTAAGAACTGGCTATATAACTGGCTTATACACTATTGTATAAGACCAATACTTCCAGAGATGTCCTCATTTAGAAAAACTATTAACAAATAAATTAAATGTTTTCTTTTGGATTAGAGGTTAGTCTAGCATTTATAATTTGCTTCATATGAAAACAGATGATATATGTAAGTGTGACTGGGTATTTTACATTAAATTTGTTACACGTTTGATTTGTTACTGAATGGCATGCATTTTGTTTTATTACAGAGGGGCAATTCTCTCTCTCTCTCAGACAAAATGTGACCCTGGACCACAAAACCAGTCATAAGGGTCAATTTTTGAAATTGAGATTATACATCATCAGAAAGCTGAATAAATAAGCTTTCCATTGATGTGTGGCATAAAAGAAGAATCGTTAATTTTGACCCATACAATGTATTTTTGGCTATTGCTACAAATATACCTGTGCTACTTACGACTGGTTTTGCGGTCCAGGGTCACAAATATAGTTCAGTTAGTACTGGTATAGTAAGTACATCAAAGCAGAACAAAAATGAGAGAACTTGCTGAGAACTGGAAGGAAGATTTGGAGTTGATGATAAGTAGCCTACTGTTACATTCAAGTAAAAAAAAATGTAATTTAATATTCATTTAATTTTATCACAGCCTTATGTTTCACATGGGCCAAAGAGGATTAATTAAGTAGTTATTTTATTTAACTTTGTTAATGATAAACTCAGAAATTAGTCATGAGGAAGTGTGGATCAAATAAAAATGTGGCTATAGTAGATGTGTTGTCCATAGTAAAAGAATAAAGATGAACCATCATAAACATCTCTGGATCTTAGCAAACATCATTCCATTAGTAATACATTAACACGTACCATAAAAATGACCAAAGGTCAGTTGCTGTGTATACAAAGAAAGTATTAGAGGGTTTCACCTTACAGACTCATCATAGCGAGGACAGAGAAAGAGATCATAGAACATTTGAAGACAAAACAAGAAAATCAGCAGCATGTCGGCCACGCCTGAAGTTCCCAAGGAACACTTTGTGAGCTGTGATTTATGTGTGGAGGTGAAAACCCCAGCGCTGAAGACCTGCTTGAAGTGTGAAATCTCTATGTGTGCTCAGCACCTGCAGACCCACCTGACCACTCCAGTGCTGCTGCAAACCCATCCACTGACTAATCCTGTAAAATCAGGTTCCTCCAAAAGGCCAGCAAATGCTCAGCTCATGGCAATCTTGTGGAATACTTCTGCCTGGATGATCACGTGCTGGTGTGCATGTCTTGTGCTATCGAGGAAGGACATCAGCCGCATAACATGAAGACGCTTCAGACTGCCCGTGGAGCTGGCAGGTCAACTGAAAGAAGACTTAAAGGCACTGGCTCAGAGGCAGAACCAGGCTAAACAGCTGGAAAAGTGGCACAAAGACCAAATGCAGGCTCTGGAGAACTGTGTTGGTCAGCTGATGGAGACTGGATCAGCCCTGAAGGATCTGGTCTTCACGTGTTTACAGACTTCAGTATCAGCCAGACTGGGCGCTCTTCAGACTGCCCAGCGAGCTATCAGTTTGGCTCTAGAGGAAGATGATGATTTCAGCTTCTTGCAGAAATTTGCCAGTGTACACGAAGCTATAATGGAGACTCACACAGTGGATCTGAAACAGGGCTTGGAGTCAGGACCTGATCGCACTAAATTAATTAAGGAGTTCCGAAAGGATGGAGAAATGATTGAGGAGGTTTCTTGCTTTTACTGATCCTAAATTCCACTCAGTTTTTCAGGATGATCAAAATCCAGTCTCAGAACTAACCTTTGACCCACAGACCCTAGGGCCTGAGATGACTCTGTCTAAAAACCTTAAAACGGTATTCTACAGTTTCTCTGCCAGAAACCCGACCCAAGCTTCTGCAGGCCCGTACAAAACACAGACTCTTCGTTGCCTGCAAACAAATAAAGGTGTCAATCTGCACTGGTTCCTCAAGCTCTCTGAGCATTTTGACTGGACCGTTGGCCTTTGTGATACCAGAGCCACGAACGGGAAGTATTCAGTGGTATATGGACTGAAGAAACAGAAAAATTCTCTCTTTACTTTAAAATCAGAAGATGTGACACAAAATGGCTTAATGAATAGTCATGGGAATAGACTGAAGAGATCTACATATTTTCAGACTTTTTCAGTCTCCATGAATTCCATGTCACTGGTCCATGGAAGGTGGAAGTGATTTGGGACTATGCTTCAAAGTAACTAGTCTTTTACAGCAGAAACAAACTAACCAAAGATTTTTTACTGTGTAAACATAGAATAGACATATACAGACACATACTTTGTCCCTTTATTACTTTTGAAAACATAACCACTACTCTACCAAACACACAGAGAGAGAGCTGCTTCGGATTGCTCAAACCTATCCCAGGATGTTTGAGGGCCAAGGCAGTTCTTATACAGAAATACTCTGTGTACTCAAACAATAATCAGATAATAATAATCAGAAAGTAAAATGGCAAAAGTGTCATTAATTTAATTCGTTTTTTGTTAATTGTTTTTCAGCTGTTTTATTCATTATGAAGAATATTTTTTTGTTTAATACCTTTTCTATTTGTTAATGTTTTCTTGCAGTAACCTGTTTCTTGTTGTGTGTTAAAATAATTTGCCATTTAAAGCTGGAAGAGCTCATTTAATCTTATTTTTAAAGAAGTTATCATGTAGGGTGTATTATTAATAGTTGAGTTTATTTATAGCATATATCAAAAACATAATTATATTCTTGTCAAAATGCATACTAAATCCTAATTTTCTATTTTCTCTTTAAAAATTTATCTAATTGTGATAAAGGAGGTGATGAGTCAATTATTACAACTGAAATATGCTCATTTTTTTGCTTCTTTTTTTTTATTAGCCTGGACTTCTCGTCATCCACTTTCTGGATGAAGAATCTCTTTCTTAAAATGATATATTCAGAGATATTATGCAATGTATTTCCATCTTACATATGATTTTATCATTAGACAATATGTAGTACTGTAGGAAGATGTGTATAAAGTCACCTGAAAAACCCTCATATGCATAGTGGAAGAGAATTCTAACAATTTTCTATGTAATATTTGTTGTGTCAAACTTTATATACAAGTTATACAGCATTTTCACAACAGATTATACTTATTAGTTGTTAAGGGATTAAAAACATCACAGTGACTGTATGCACTCTACATGCTTACAAAGAGAGGCAGTGTTGAAAACAAGATGTCAGCAATTGCTGAAAATAAAATTGAATGAAAACTGATTTAAATTTTACCAATCCACAACACATGCTACATCTTACTAGACAATGCATATACTTATCTTTTCTTTGCAAAGGCTGTAGTAAATTCACATGGGTTTAATTCAGTGAACGCAAGACCTGAAAAAATTTACCTTGAATGCAATGTTTTTGATCAATTTAATATAATATAATACAATTATTTTTAATTTTATATTTATTTATTAGTAAGTTCATTCACTCATTGAAATTAACAGATGAGATGATCAGTGGGGCAGAGTATTTGCTTTTAATGTTTGTACATGGGTTTAAGATCGGATAGAGATCCTCAGTGAACCACTGATCGATGAAAGAGTAGATATGAGACCTGGACTCCACATCAGAAAAAGAGACCAAGCCTTCCTCATAATCCACAAACACACCCAACTTCTGAGGCTTGACTTTCAGGGAGAGAGAGACAGTGGGTCCAGCACAGGCACTATACTGGTTCCCATTTCTCAACCGCACTGTCCAGTAACCATTCTGAGGACTCAGTGTGATCTTCCCCTTTCTGGTAATGGATTTTCTGGCCACTCCTATATCCCAATTAGTCTTCCCCTTCACCTGCACCTCAAAATAAAATCTTCCAGAGGAGAATCCCTGCTTTCCCAGGACATTCCCACATTTATCAAACCTCTCAGGGTTGTCTGGGACATTCTGTTTTTTTTCTCCACGTCGCACTTGTTTCCCATCTTCAGACAAGATGAGACACTTATGAGCTGTATCTGGATCCAGTGTCACATCCGCTAATGAAAATTAAAAAATAATTATAATTACTTGCATATTGAGAGCTGATACAAGACTACTGATACCAATGGATTAAAAAATTATACATGTTCCCATTCTTACTAACCTGCATATTTCCTTCTCTTTGTGAACTCTAAAAAGACATGTTTAAAATGTTTTTAAATGTGTTTAAAATAAATTTGGTCCAACACAAAAATTCCACAAATCAATTAGTGCAGATTACAATGCATTTTTTTCATTCATAATGAAATGAATCATTATAGTCACAATTTCGGGCACAATTAATGTAACATAAGCAACAGTAAATTCGAAGAATATACCACACATTTAGATATTATATTGAATTGATTTGTTTTTGGAATAATGATGACCTAAACATAAGCTCACCTTTTTGAATCCTCCTCAAATAGCGAACTGAAGAAATGTAAAAATATGAATAAGATAAATAAACATTATAATTGTGCAACTATTTCTTTCCGTTCAGATGCAACTACAAAATTAAGACTTTTTAAAAGCTAGTTATTTTGCATCTACTGTATATGAATTAGTGAAAAATGGACATCACCTCTTCTTATGTAAACAAAAGTAGCAACTGCAACTGCAGTAATGATGCTGAGAACAACTGTAATTGACATGCAAATGACTGATGTTCTCCAAATGTGAAATAGTTTACCTGTAATGAAAACCTGATTCAATTACACGCTCTCAGAAAAAAGTACAAATCTGTCACTGGGGCGGTACTCTACGGTATAAAAGCTAAAAAAAAAGGTACATCTTTGTACCTTATTTACCCATTATTGGGTACATATTTGTACCTAAAATTATATATTAGTACTTTAAAAGCACATACTAGTACCTTTTGAAAGGGTGCTATCCTAGTGGCAGTATACTTATTATATATGCAAATTATAAACATGAATTTAGGCATTTTCTGTACAATAAATGTGCAAATCTGTGATTAAATCGTAATGAATTCTGAATCATTATGACTGCATCACATTACTTTGGAAATTTGAGAAAGACAAACCCAATTCATACTTACTTGAGACAATAATGTCAGTTTGCACCATATGATGTCTCAGTTTGACTCTACACTGATACTTGGTCTCACTGTCATGTACAGTGATCCTGTGTTTCACGCTGTAGCCCTTCGTATCTTTATGTGTCTCTTCAGTATCAGAAGTCAAATTCTCTCCTTTACTGTCCAGCCACTGAAGCTCAGGTTTAGGGTTCCAACCCTCGCATTCACACAGCAGACGAAGCCCTCCTGAATGATCGAACGCATCTACAATGATCAGTGGAGGAGTTCCTACAGCTGCAGAGATTAAGCATAAGAATAATTCATTAATTGTACTTGCACGGTATATCGTCTGTACTTTTGATTTCAAAAGCACTGTAGATCAGAGAGAGAGCTAGATTTTCCTCCGTTTTGTGTCAATTTTTGTTATAAACAAACAAATATAACTTCTCGTCTTAGTTCTTGGTCTTCTCACCTCCAACATCAACACTAACAGTGATGTCGTCATACCAGGAGTTGGACTCAATAAAACACTTGTAAACTCCTTCATCAGAGACTTGGACTGATGAGAGTTTGAGTGATGCGTTTCCATTCTGTAGTTCTTCTTGGAACAGTGCTGTTCTCCCTCTGAAGTACTGGTTCTGCTTCGTGACTTTGTTTTCACCATTTTCATAGAGATACACTATTGAGTCTTGAAGGTCAAATCTAAACCATTCCACTCTCATGTTTACAGCACTGGTGTTGGGCTTGATGGAACAGGGCAGGATCACATCTTCACCAGTGAGAGCAAAGAGAGGTTCTGCAGGTCCCACAACATTATACATCTCTAAGACAAAGAAAACCATGTCTGAATTGGACATATAAGGACACCAGTTCATTTATGGCTGTATAGGAGTTGAAGTAAAGTAACCCATCTATCTCTCCTCATAATGCTAAATCTTCTGCATTTTACATGACTGTAGCAAATACAACACAAATACATGCACACAGAAATCACTCTGATCACAGAACAGCTCTGCTGTGGTTTTATTTGCAACATTAAATGGACCTGGTATCACTGGATCTTGAAATGCACAACACTGTCTGCGTTTTCTACAAGGTGAAAATGATTACCTGATCTTAAATCTGTAATTGCACAAAACATCAGAGCCACACCAACCAACTTCATCCCTGCAAAGAAACTGCTCTATTTTATAAAACAGAATGCCTTTTATTACAAATAGTTTGGTACGTGTTAAATAAAATAAACACAAATGATTATATTTAGTCAAATGCTTACCTGATTTGTCTCTTGTAAACAGTGTTTAAAAGACTTGCGATCACTTCCTCTTAGAGAAAAACCAGTCAAACCAGAAATCACACACTCGAACACTTAAAAGACACACACACATTCAGCATTCAGCACATGCACTCTAGATGCCTATACTTGTCGGTTTCAGTGATCTTATTGTTAACTGAAACTAAAACTATTAAAAATGGTATTGTTAAGTGAAATAAAGCTGAAAAAACATTAGATCAAAAACTTAAACTAAAAAAAAACGTAAACAAAAATTAGAGATTTTGCCTTGGCAACTAACCTAAATAAACAAGTTTAATTACTAAAACTGAAATAAAAACAAAGCTAAAAAGAAATGTTAAAAACAAATTACAAAAAGCACATAACAAAATGACTAAAACACAAGCTAAAGTTAAAACGGATAATCTAAAAATAAAAGCTAATTCTAAATATTAATGAATATTTGTCAGACTCTGTTCCATGTTTTGTCTGTGTCTTGCTCCCCAGGGCCCAGGGAGGGCTCCTGATCCCCCGTCCGGCCCAGGGAGGGCTCCAGATCCCCCGTCCGGCCCAGGGAGGGCTCCAGATCCCCCGTTAGGCCCAGGGAGGGCTCCAGGCCCCTTAAATTTCCCCAAGTATTTTTTGGGGGGGGGT